TATTCATCGTGAAAATCATGAAGGTAAAATTTTTTTTTTCTTTTTTTTTGAAATTTCTTTTAGAATTCTTACATAATATTGAATTAATACAGATAGGCATATCAAACATCTTTTTTTCTGTCATAAAAATTTAGTTAAGATAGCTAAATATTTTTCAGAAGTTGTTCTAGCTGATGCAACCTATAAAATGAATATTTACAAACTGCCATTTGTAAATTTCATCAGTATTAGTAATCTTGGGGTTAACTGGTTGCAAACATTTGGAATTGCAGGTGCTTGGATCTCAGATAAAACTAAGAAGTCATATATTTGAGTGGTTGAAAAGCTTGCATTATTGATCTTTTTTGATATTTCTCTGCTTGTGTTTGTTACAAACAATGATGCAGCACTTATTGGTACCATTAAAAAAGTTTTTCCCCAATCTAAAAATCTCTTGTGTACTTGGCACGTTTTGAACAATTTTAAGAAGAATTTAAGAAAACATTTCGACAATGACTCTTATGATAAAATTATAAAAATCATAGATCGTATCATCTATTTGAGAGATAACAATGCATTAAATTTGACAATTGCTTCATATAAAGCACTGGTTAAATCAAGCTTCAATGCAAATGAGGCAATTAAATATTTTGACAGAGAAGTATATACTATACGACAAAAATATATGGACGTACTAGATTTAGGTTAGGTTTAGGTAAATTTAAATATCACATAGGTAATATTTTACATGGGGTATATTATTTGTATAAACCCAAGCATATATATTATAAAATTATTTTGTAATATATGTTACAGTATAATGAAGCTACTATGTAGAGGTGTGAGCACAATGTATAATTATAATTATACATAGCAAAAATAGTATAATTCATTATAATTATAACCAGTTATGGCATTGCACTTATACCTTTAGTATCAGTATCGAACTACATAACTATATAATCATATGTCACTACACGGGTATTAGGAAATTTTTAAAAAAACAATCATGCTGCATCAAACATTTAAAAAAAATCATCAGCTTTCTTGAAAAAATACCGTTAGGGATGTTAACAATTTTGTCTGGTTCGACTTGACTCAAAGAGTAGAGTTTTTATTAAAGTTCAGTCCCAAGTCAAACTTGGAACTTGACTAGCATTGCACATACATTTTGTACATATATTAAATAAAGAGATGTGTATGCATGCAAAGTATATATATTTTTTTTGCTATATTTAAATGTTCAAGATGCACATCTAATATATGTCAAATTCTAAATTTGACTTGGAACCAGACTTTAATAAAAACTTGACTCTTTGAGTCAAACTTTACCCGTAAATTAGTCTTCAGATAACCTGTAGATGTAACTAAAAAATCAAGATTCTAATCATATTTATTGAAAAAGATTTAAAAATGCTTAATTCTTCGAACTGATAAGCTCTCTAAATTTTTCAATTATTGTTAGCGAAGATATTTTGAAAGTAGAAAGCCCTCTAACAGGAAATTAACAAGCACTGATCACTGTTTTCTGAGGAACAAAAACCCTTCCTAGTCAAATACTCAGATTTGATGAAGCCCACCAAACTACTATCACTCAC